TTCATAATTTTACTAAAATAGATTCTGGTATTGGTTATTCTGGTTTAGTTTTTTTCAGGTGTGTAGTATGCCTTTTAGATATATAGCTCCAAGTATTTTTTTTTAAGAATTACTTATTATTATTTTAATTTGCTCACCGGAGAGAGAGGGAAAGTGAGAAAGCAAGTCGCCAGGTCTGGGACTTGAACTGTGGGCGGCCATGTGGGAGTCCAGCACCCAAGCCACAACACCTGCTGGCCCTAGTTCCAGTGTTTTGAATTTTAAAAAGATTCCGTTTTCTTGAGTTCTAGTATCTAATATTGATTCTGTTCCATAGGTTTGATTTCTTTGTTGATTCGTGTTATGCTGTGTTAGATCTTTTTTGTCACTTTATTGCAAATCATTGTTTTACAACTTTAATTCTTTTTTATCTTTTCCTCTGAAAGCATTATCTTTTTTCATTACTTCATTTTTATTTATTTTATGGTTACTGTTTATCCACAAAATGCTTTTTCTTTTTTTTCTCTTATTCTTTCTTGAACTATATAATCTTCTATTTGTAATTCTAATTTGTTATTTCATCCTTTGTCTTTTTCTTTTTTTGTTTGTTTTTAAGGTTTTGCCATAGGGCATGTGTGCTTGCTGGAAAGAGACAGACAGAGGCAAATTGAGAAATTCCCCTGCCAGGGGGGGATGGCCATGCCACAGTCCTTTCTCTTCCATTCTCCTGGGATTTTGGGTAGGCACGCACACACATGTGCCCAGTGCGATTTTCAAGTCACCAAGTACAGGACTTAAATCATGGGCGACCATGTGGAAGTCCAGCACCTTAAGCACCACACTACCTGTGAGCCTGCCTTTATAATTCTTAACTTTTTTTTCTTAGCATATTCTGAAATAATAATTTACAGCTTTCATCTGTTGGTAATCATGTCTTTTTGACATGTTTTCTTTTTCTGTTATCCTGATTGATATTTTTCTGTCTCTTATTCTTTTATGATTTGGCCACAGTGCTTTTCTTTTTTTTCTTTTTTTTCCCCTTTAAGATACAGGGTCTTGCTACATTGCCCAGGATGGCCTTGAACTTGTGATCCTTCTACCTTAGCCGCCTTAGTAGTTGGGACTACAGGCATGTGCCACTATATCCAACTTCTATTAATATTTCTCATTTTTATGGGAGATCAGTTTTCCTGAATTGGTAGGAGGCAAACAGGCCAGAATAGCTTTGTAGCTAACTCTTCTGTTATCATTATTTTCATGAAATTAAAAAATTTACATATACATATGCATTATATTTACATACACACACGCACACACACACACACACACACACACACACACACACACATAGCCTTGTAGCCTGCTTAAAGGAGCAGGATCCCACATGGCCAACGGTTGTTCAAATCCCAGTCCTGGAGGCTTGAACATGCTGGGTGCATGTGCACGTATACCTAAAATCCTGACAGGGTGGAGAAATGGAGAAGGGTTACAGTATGACAGCATCTCATTGAGGAATGCTTCCTTGTCCCCGTTACCCTCACCATGCCTCTGCTTCTCTGTGGCGAGTGCAGGCACCCTTTGACAAAACCAAACAAACAAAAAAATTAAAGAAAATATGATCTTACTCTTTCAAAGCTCTCTTAGCCTTATTTCTTTGTTTTCATCCTTACCTGGACCTTTTTCCTTTGTTCTTCGTCTTCCTGTTGCTATCAATTTGGAATTCTTTTTTTAAAGAAGTTTTTGTCTTAGAGCACGTGAGCTCACTGGAGAGAGAGACAGACAGACAGACAGAGAGAAAGTGAGAAATCACCCCCTGGGAGAATGACCACACTCAATTACCTTCTTCTCCATTCTCCTCTGGGATCTTAGGCATACTTGCATACATGCCCAGCATGATTTTCTTTTTTCTTAGAATTATTACTTTTTATTTGTATTTATTTATTTAAATTTGACCAGAGAGGGACAGAGTGAGTGTGTGTGAGTGTGTGTGTGTTTGTGAGAGACAGAGAGACAGAGAGAGAGAGAGAGAGAGAGAGAGAGAGAGAAAGTAGAGAAAGTAGAGAAAGTGAGAAAGTAAGATACCAGATCCAGGACTTGAACCGCGGATGGCCATGTGGGAGTCCAGCGCCCTTAACCACCATACCACCTTAACCACCTGCCAGTGTGATTTTCAAGCCATCAGAGTCTGGGACTCAAACCAGGGTTGGCCTTGTGGTAGTCCAGCGAAGTAACCACTATGCCATCTGCTGGCTCTGTCAATTAGGAATTTAATCTTGGTTTCTTCTCAGTGTGGGCTTCATTTTGGAAGGGAATTTCATCAGCTAGACAGTTTAGAACTGTCATGTCCTTTGAAGTCTAATTTAATATTTAATCTACATGTATGGCTACTTAAATTTAAGGAAGTTAAATTTAAATAAAATTAAACATTTGATTCCTCATCTGCACTGGCCATGTTATATGTTATAAGTACTTAATAGCTGTAGCTAGTGGCTATTATATTTGACATTGTTGATACAAGATATTATCACCAGAAATTTCTATTGGACAGTGATAGCTTAGTCTGTCCTTCCTTCTCTTTAGACTTTTGCAAACCTGTTGTACTCATCCGCAAATTGCAGTGTATAAAACCCACTCTGAATTGACCTGCTGTCCTGTCCTTCCCTCTCTTCCCTTCCCTTTCCTTCTTTATTATGACAGAGAGCACTCGTGCATGCATGAGGGAGCAGGAAAAAGAGAGACGCACCCTCTACAGGATTGTTTTGTCATACTGCAGTCCCCTTTCTCTAGGCCGTCCCTCTCAGGATCCTGTGCACCTGCCTCTGTGTCCAGCATGGTTTCAGTGTTCTTTGAGGAGATCACATTTACATTTATCTGAGAACGAATTAAATTGCATAACCTAGAAGTACATGTTTACTCTATTTAGAAATAGCATTCCATGTTGGAAGCACCATGAATATAGTGGGTCTTTTGAAAAGTCATGATGAATTTTTCTGTGCAGAAATGTATCAGCTTTTCCACCGACCCAGTACTTACTATTTCTAACAACATTAGGCTGCAGTTGGCCACATGGCACCTCCTGTGGGACGTGGTCATGCAGCAGTCTCTTCTCCTTTTATCGCTTCCTCCTTCTGGGGTTTTGGACATGTACACTAATGCACTGGAAATATTTTTCAAGCCACAGGGTCCTGGACTTGAACTGCACAGCCTGACCCCCTGCTTACTCATTTTTTGGGCTTTGTGGGGAGCCTTATCCCATAATTTTGATGTAAATACTATCTTTTGAGTTTGTGTGGTTTTAAGAATTATTTATTTAATTTTATTAATTATTTAAATTGCTATAGGGTCTGTGTACTCATGAGAGAGAGAGAAAGTGGGGGAGAGGGAGAAAGGGAGAGGGAGGGAGAGAGAGGGCAGGAGTGAGGGAGGGAGGGAAGGAAAGTGAGAAAGCCAGCCACAGGTCCAGGACTTAAACCACGGATAGGCATGTGGGAGTGCAGTGCCTTAACCACCATATCACCTGCTGGCCCCCTGAGTTTGTGGTTTTGCTTTTGTAGTTTCTGTGCTTTCTATGGGTGGACTTGGAAAGATACACGAAGAATATGTCCTTTTTACCTTTAAGATTATAATCTTTGGGAACCAGCAAATGGCGTAATGGCTATGTCACTGGACTCCCAGGTAGTCGACTGCAGCTCACATCCCAGACTCGGTGGCTTAAACTCACACCGGGCACGTGTGCGTGTGTGATCCCAAGAGGAGAATGGAGGAGAAGGGATTGTGACGTGGCCATCCCCCCCCACACACGGGGGGCTGATTTCTCGATTTCTATCTCTCTGTTGCTGTCTTTTTTTTTTTTTTAGAGGTTTTTGCTATAGTGCGCGTCTGCTTGCCAGACAGACAGAGAGACAGAAAGCGAGAAATCACCACCCCGGGGGGATGGCTATGCCACAATCCCTTCTCCTCCATTCTCCTCTCGGGATCTTGGGCATGCATGCACATGCACCCGGCGTGAGTTTAAGCCACCAGGTCCGGGATTCGAACCACGGTCGACTACGTGGGAGTCCAGCGACATAGCCGTTATGCTAACTGTTGGTCCCTCTCTCTCTGTCTTTCTGGCGAGCACACGCACCTTATAGCAAAAACCTCTCAAAAAAAAAAGATTATAATATTTGTAATTGTTCTCCCCTTCCTTTATACCCTAAAAATTTCTAGCACATATCTATTTACCACTACTTTAATATCAGATTTACTGCCCATTATTAACTGACTTAGCAGATGTGGGCATATCACTTGGTCTCATTTCACCTTTAGTTGCAGTATTTTAAACATGAGAAAGTTGGGCTCAGGTTTGTGTGCTTTCTGTGTGGCTAATCTCACAGGGTTTTCTTAGCATGAGAAGGTATGATGATCCCCTCAAAGAATATTTTTCCCAGGGGATTTATGTATATGTTCGTCTGTTACTCTCTCAGTTGTGTAGCTGAGAGTACTTACCTTACCTGAGTCAGCCATATTGTATTTATTTCAAGTTTTATGGCTTATTCTTGTTTCTGTGCAATTGGCAGTTATTTGCCATTATTGACTAGAGGTCTAGGGCATAAATTTTCATGATCTGTTGTTATTTTAATGTTGGAGATCAGTGTATGAGAGAAAGAGTTGAGTGTGCTTTTTTGTAAACATTCCCTGATATATTTTGGTAGACATTCCCTGAAATAATTTTTAGCTATTGTAAGAGAATAACTCTATTTCTCTGAGTCATTAGTCCCTTTTTTATAGTGCTTAGTAAAGGATTTAATTTTGTAAACAGAGATCTATGACTTCTAGAAGAAAAACTACAAAAATTTAAATTTCCCAAGAATTTAAGATTTGCTATAAATGCTATTACTATATTGCAAATTAGAGCTTGAGATACAAATATAGTTGATAAAGTTTCCCTAAATTATTGTGATTTTCAATGAGAAATAATAAGTTATTTTTAGTAATTTTCAAGGATAAATTACTAATATGTTGTTTCTTTTTTCTTTCAGCTTCCAATAAAAACAGGACAACAGAACACACATACCAAAGTCAGTACTGAACACAACAAGGAATGTCTCATCAATATTTCCAAATACAAATTTTCTTTGGTTATAAGCGGCCTCACAACTATCTTAAAAAATGTTAACAATATGGTGAGTATTTGAGTTACTGTTTTGGGGGGAATTTTTTTTTTTTTAAGAGAGATTTTTGCTATAGGTTGTGTGTGCTTGCTGGAAAGACAGAGACAGAGAGACAGAAAATGAGAAATCACCCCCTGTGGGGATGGCCACGCTGCAATTTTTTTCTCCTCCATGTTCCTCTCAGGATTTTAGGCACGCAAGCGCATGTACCCGGCATGAGTTTAAGTTGCCAGGTCTGGGACTCGAACCATGGTCAACTACGTGGGAGTCTGGTGACGTAACCATGGTCAACTATGTGGGAGTCCAGTGACATAACCATTATGTCATCTGCTGGTCCCTATATTGTTTTTTATTTAAAAGTTTGGAACTTTTATTTTGAAGTATGGGAAGTAATTTTCTGTAGACTTTGGATATAACCATTTTATTTTGTGGATAAGCACATCTAACCTTTTTAATATTTTAGTTTTGGATTCTTTCCTTTAGAAGCTAACCTTACTTATGCCCCATTTGCTTTTCCAGTGTTTTTCTGGAATTAGGGTTTTATACAGCTTTTGTATATGAATTGACCATAGTAATCTATTATATGCTCTTCTTGAACTTATTTCAGTTTATCTATCAGATTGCTCTGGCCCTAAATATTGATAGATGACAAATAAAATCTGATCTTATATTATTAAAATGTGAGATTTCTTTCTTTCTTTCTTTTTTTTTTTGAGAGGTTTTTCCTATAGGGCGCATGCACTTGGCAGAAAGACAGAGACAGAAACAGAAAGCTAGAAATCACCCCCCGGCACGGGGTGGGGATGGCCACACCGCAATCCCTTCTCCTCCATTCTTCTCTCGGGATCTTGGGCATGCTTGCACATTCGCCTGGCGTGAGTTTAAGCCACCAAACCGGGACTTGAACCACAGTCGACTATGTGGGAGTCCAGTGCCATAGTCATTACTCCAACTGCCGGTCCCTGGGATTGATTTTTTTTGGGGTAGGGGGAGGTTTTCGCTATAGGATGCGTGCGCTCGCCCGACAGACAGAGAGAGACAGAGAGACAGAAAGCAAGAAGTTACCCCCCAGAGAGGATGGCCACACCTCAGTCCCTTCTCCATTCTCCTCTCAGGATCTTGGGCACACACACACACGCGCCCGGTGTGTGTTTTAAGCCACTGGGTTCGGGATGCAAACCGTGGTCAACTATGTGGGAGTCCAGTGACATAGCCATTACGCTAACTGCTGGTCCCCCGGGATTTGATTTTTATGAAGATAATTTTTTTCTTTCCCCTGTAACCTCTCTGACAGATTCTTTAGTAGAAAATCTGTAATTGAATCAATTTCACCAAAATGCCAGTTTCATCAATTGATTCCACTGTTAAAAGCTCTTACATCTTTTTCTTTTTCTTGTCTTATAAAATCTGTTGCCATCCCCTTGACTTCAAGGTACTGTTTTCCCTCTTTACTTTTGAGTATATCTCTCTTCTTCTCAGGTGATTACTTCCTCTTTGTCAACTCCTGTCTAACATCTCCTTCATACTTAGTTCAAAGCAAGTGATCTGCACTTTTCTTGATTAGCTCTAAGCTCTACTTGTCTTTAGTGCTTGTAAACTCAGTTATATTGTTTGAGTATCCTTTATCTGAAATGCTTGGGACCAGAAGTGTTTTATATTTTGAGATATTTGCCTCTATATAATGAGAAATCTTGGAGATGGAACCCAAGCCTAAACAAAAGTTTGATTTATGTTTTATGTACAGCTTATATACATAGCCTGAAGGTAATTTTATATATTGTTCTCTTTGCTAGAGACAGAGAGAGAGGAGAAAGCACCTCCAGTGGGAAATAGTCACATTCTAATCCCTTCTCCATCTCTCTTCTTTAAAGGATTTTGGGCACACATGTGCATGCCCAGTGTATTTCTCATGCTATCTAGCCCAGGACTCAGCATGGTTGGCTACGTGGAATCTGGTTGCATTTACCGCAGAGCTGGCCAATGCATAGTATTTCTGCATTACAATATTTTCACTGCAACCTGTCATGTGAGGTCAGGTGTGGAATTTTCCCCTTGTGGTGTCATGTCACCACGCAAAATGTTGTGAATTTAGGAGCACTTCAAATTTTGTATTTTCAGATTAGGAGTGCTTAACCTGTATTGAACTGTAGAGTGACTATGGTTATAGATTGTGAAGGTCAGTCTCCTTTTTTTCAGTCACGCAATCTCTGGTGTGTTTATTTTTAAGAAAATTGCTTAGACAAGTACCGCAAACTTGCAAAACATATAAACTGGAAGTGCAGGCAGTTATTTACCTACTATTTTTCTTTATGGAAGAAAATTTAAGATTTTGTCAAAACAACAGGACTTTTTATAAATATAGGTTTAAAGAAATGCATTTAATATTTTATGTAACTTTTGTTGCACAGTGTGTAGGGGACACTGATAGGATTTTACACATATGAATATGAGGCTATGTTCCCAGTTATTAAAATATTTTAATACTAGGGGCCTTCTTTTCAAAACAAAATAGTACCGTGATATTGGCATTCAAACGCTTACTGAATAAATTGCAGAAACCATAGATAGTCTTTTGTTAGTAAATAATATCCAATTTAAGGATAATAATAGCTTGAAATTCAATGAAATTGGTGGTGCAGCATTTTGTTGCTGCAAGAATGAAGACTTAAGTGATTTTTTAAAAAAAATTATTTATTTGAATTTTATTTATTCATTTATTTATTTTAATTTGACTAGAGAGCAATAGAGGGAAAGTGAGAAAGCGAGCCACCAGGTCCGGGACTCGAACTGTAATTAGCCATGTGGGAATATCCAATGCCTCAACCACCATGCCCCAAAACTGTTGGCCCCAAGACTTCAGTGATTCTTAAATGTAGGTGTAAATGCTCAATTGAAGATTGTGGTATACAAGTCTCTCTGTGTGTCTAAGTCCTACATATATATTGTTTTAACTGCCAGAGGATATGTGCATTCATGAGAGAGAGAATAAAAGTACCCTCCAGTGGGATGTGGTCATACCACAACCCTTTTACCTCCATTTCTTCACCATTTCAGGATTGGGGGCTTTCATGCACACATGCTTCTCATGTTTTTCAGGGTGCCTGGCTAGGATTCAAACTGGGGTCAGCCATTTGAGATCTGGTTTCCTGTGCACTGCTCTTCACTTCTGCTATAGGGCAGCCCAAATCCTACATATATTTTAAAGCAAAGAAACATCTTTTACTGTTACAAGGTGAATGGAAGACTCCAGTTAATGCCAACATTTGTGTTTGCCTGAGAACTTATTTTGTCTGAGAATTAGGGTTAAAAACAACAATAACAATAGATTTAAATGTAGTATAATCTGGATGATAAAATGTAGGACTATAGATTTTCATGATCCTTAGTCCCTCACTTTCATGTATGTGCTTGTTTGTGGTGGAGACTGATAACCAATTTTTATGTTCTGAATGTCTTATCTTGTAGAGAATATTTGGAGAAGCTGCAGAAAAAAATTTATATCTCTCTCAGTTGATTATATTGGACACACTGGAAAAATGTCTTGCTGGGGTACGTAAATCCACTGTGGTAGTCAAGGTTTGTGAATTCAGTCTTGAGAATGATCTGATGTACTAAAGTATAGCTGTGGATAAAGAGAGTAGTCAAGATGTATTAATGTCTCGACTAAGACATATAAATATAAATTTTGTTAGTAACCTGACCTAGTACAGGCAATTTTTTAAGAGAAAATTATTCTGATATCTTTTGTAAATTAAATAGATACTAACTTACTTTTTTTTTTTTTTGGAGAGGTTTTCGCTATAGGGCGTGTGCACTCGCCAGACAGACAGAGACATAGAGACAGAAAGCGAGAAATCACCCCCCAGGGAGGATGGTCATGCCGCAATCCCTTCTCTTCCATTCTCCTCTCGGGATCTTGGGCACGCACGCACACGCGCCCGGCGTGAGTTTTAAGCCACCGGGTTCGGGACACGAACCGTGGTCGACTATGTGGGAGTCCAGCGACATAGCCATTATGCTAACTGCTGGTTCCCATATACTAACTTACTTATGAAGGGCTAAAAGTGAGCCCCATGTTTGTTTCTCAGGTGTTCTTCAGTTCTCCTCTAATCTCCTCTCAGAGTATTGGGCATGCACTTACGCTTGTCCAGCATGATTTTCAAACTGCCAGGTCCGGGACTTCAATTGTGCAGCCAGCCATTTGGAATCCAGCGCCTTCACCTCCCCACTACCTGCTGGCTGCCAATCTTTTTTTTTTCCCAATAACCTCAACAATTAAATCTTACCCTATTAAACAAAATAAACCCAGTGTCCCCTTATTCATTCATAGGACCTTTCCATTTGGGTCTATTTGTATTACCACTATACCACCACCTGACCCCAGGATTTGATACTTTATTGACATTTACTTACTAATTGGAGTTAGTTTTAATATCTGTCTTGTTTGGTTAGCTTATAAGTAAGAAATCAGCATTGTATTGTACTTGAATTTTACAGGTTTTTGTGAAATATTGTTTACTTACTGGTCATATATTTTAGTTTATTTGCATCTGAAAGCACTTAGATTGCAATTACAGAATTGAGCATAGCATACAAGATATTTGTTTTTGTCTTCCTGCTCAGTATTATCATCCATATATGGATACCATAGCCATTAGGTGAAATAGTGATATGGAATAGCTTATGTACAGAATAGCTTATCTGTTGGTTGGTTGGTAATTGTAAGTAGATACTTACTTTACAAAGTAGAGATCTCAATATTCACCGTAGTTATCAAACTTGGTGTCATTAGCAGGGGACCCCTGGCATTGTGTATTCTTAATATGGTGTAATAGGAACTACTAAATTACCCAAAATGTTTTAATTGGAATCTAATCAGACTGTTAAGTTTAATTTCCAGCATAGAAAAAATATACTAAGTAGAAGAAAAATTAAGTTATACTACTAGCAAATAATCAGATAAAAAGTATGGAGACCCAGTGGAGTGGCATGTACTGCTAAGACACTATGTTCTGCAGGTGGACATCCATAGGAAGCCTGGGTTCAATTCTTAGTGGAACCTGAAGGCCAGGTATGGTGGCATGTGCCTGTAATCCCAGCAAGTCAGGGAAGCCAAGCCGACTTTTTAAAAAGAAAGAAAAAGAAGGAAAAATTTTGTAAGACAACTGACTCAGTTTCTGAAATCAGTGTTTTTTTTTTTTTTTTGAGAGAGAGATTTTTGCTATAGGGCACATGTGCTCGCTGGAGAGAAAGAGATGAGAGACAGAAAGCAAGAAATCATTCCCTGGGGGCGATGGTCAGACCACAATCACTTCTCCCCTCTCTTCTTGGGATTTTGGGCATGGACACACATGCCTGGCATGAGTTTCAAGCCTCCCTGTCTGGGACTCAAACTGTAGGTGACCACGTGGGAGTCTAGTGCCTTAATCACCATGCTGCCTGCTGGCTCCTAAATCAATGTTACAGAAAATAAAAGTGATGTATATGGGGTTTGTTGGGGAGGTTGCTCTAAATTAAACTGAAGGAACATAATCACAGTGCAGTCTATAAACATTTTTGGATCCTGGTTCAATAAAAGCTATGGAAGACATTTAGGAGGAAGTGACAAAATTTGAATATAAATTGAGTATTAGATGATACAAGGGAATTGTTTATTTCTCCCTGGTGTGTTAATTGCATTGAAGTTATGTAGGAGGAAGTCCTTATTTTTACAATATTCTAAATTACATGGAGTGAAGTATTAAGTGATTCAATGAAAAAATTATTTGTAGTAGGTAATATCTATCAATATTTTGGTCAGTCTGCACAAAGGCAGGCATGGTCACCCACTCAGAAATTGATTTGGATGTTAAGATGGATGACATAATGCACTTACCAATGAATACTTACTTTATAAAAGTGAGTATTTTGCATATTTAGAACTCACAGTGAACTGGGAATTCTCAGGAAGGGAACTGCTGATTGGACAAACAAGGAGGCAGACAGGAATGGGGGGACTAGTGAGGATGGATGGCAGGGGCCAGGGGAGACAGGTGGTTGGACTTAAACAATGAGAGATGAAGCCATCCTCCTTTGTTTTTTCTTGAAGATTTTTGCTAGAGGTTGTGTATACTTGCCAGAGAGAGATATTTAGAGAGAGAGGGAAAATGAGAAATCACCTCCCAGTGGGGACGGCCAAGCTGCAATCCCTCTTCCTCCTTTCTCTCTTGGGATTTTAGGCATGCAAGCATGCAAATGCACCTAGCATGATTTTCAAGCCACTGGGTCTGGGATTCAAACCACACAGTCGGCCATGTGGGATCCATCCCCCTTAACCCTCCATACCTCCTGCTGGCCCATGGACCATCTTCTTTATTAGACTGTTTATACATAGATAATAGCAAATATGATAACAGTTGTAGAATCTAGGTGATGGGTAGATGGGTGTTAATTATTCTATTATATTTTACCTCTTCTGTAATTTGAAAAGTTTCATAATAGATATTTACAGAAAAAAAATTAAATTATGTGATTGTTTCTATTTTAGCAACCAAAGGATACAATGAGATTAGATGAAACGATGCTGGTCAAACAGTTGCTGCCAGAAATATGCCATTTTCTTCATACCTATCGTGAGGGAAACCAACATGCTGCGGAACTTCGGAATTCTGCCTCTGGGGTTTTATTTTCTCTCAGTTGCAACAATTTCAATGCAGTCTTTAGCCGCATTTCTACCAGGTTAGTGTGTAAACCCACATCCGACTATTGAAGTAATGTAAATTTTCGAAGTCTTTTTTTGTCTATGTAAGAAGTTAATATTCATGAATTTTACCTGGGCTTTTATGGAAATTTTATATATTCTTTGAAATTTTAGTTATGTAAAATTGTGATATTGATGTATTTAATAAAATGAGAGTTCAGACCCTCTTAGGAATCTTAAGAAAAATATCTCCCATCACCAGGATTTTTTTTAAAAGCAGTAGGTATGAATTTTTTTGGTTTGACTTTTTAAGCATATTACTTATTTAAATGAAATTAGCCAGTCAGATGGAATAATTGATGAATAGTCAGAATTCTGATGATCTCACAATTTTACTCCTTATTACAAGATCCCAAGTTACCAAAAAACTTAATTAAGGAAGCATAATGAAGTTACTAATTATAAAGTAGAATTCTCCAGAAAGTGGACTGTTACTAGTGTATGTAAAAACTTACTTTATTGAGTATAGTATATAATATGCTGTCTTATCCTCACAGAAACCCTGAAAAGTAAGTGATTCCCGTCCCATTTTACAAGTAAAGAAACTAATACCCAAACAACTCAAGGTGATGTGCCAATAATGTTTAAGGCAGGCTGACTTCAGAATCTATATTCTGCCAGATTGCATTATTCCAGATTATATCTTTATACTTCTGTTTAGGCCATATATGTATATTTTTTAAAAGGCTAAGTTTTCTTTTTTTACAAAAAGAATTGTTTATTTCATTTTATTTATTATTACTTTAATTCGAATAGAGAGAGAGAGAAAAGAGAGAAAGTAAGCTATCAGGTATGGGACCTGAACCACAGTCAGCGATGTGGGACTGCAACGCCTCAACCACCATGCCACCTGCTTGCCCCTATTTAGGCCATATTTTGGTGAGTTTTTTTTTTTTTTTTTAATAATATGTACTTCTGTGCTTTAAAAATGTATCACAAGAAGGAACGTACATCAACCCAATAAAGGCCATACATGAGAAGCCCATGGCTAACATTATACTCAATAGTGACAGATCTTTCCCCTAGATCTAGAGTAATACAAGAATGTCTACTCTCACTAGTTCTGTTTAACATCGCATTGGAAGGCCTTGCTAAAGCAGTAAGGCAATGGAAAGAAAGAAAAGACATACAGATAGGGAAGGAATAAGTGAAAGTGTTTGCTGATAACATGATCTTATATATAGAAAACCTTATAGACTCTTCAAAAAAACCACTAGAATAAATAAATGCAATCAGGTTTCAGAATACAAAAATCAACATACAGAAATGAGTAGCATTTCTATACAGTAATAATAACTGGCCAGTATAAAAGGAAATCAAGAAAGCAGTCCCATTTATAATAGTTACAAAAACAATAAAATAACTTAAAATAAATTTAACCAAGAAGGTGAAGACCTGTACACTGAAAATTATAAAATGTTGATGAAAGAAATTGAAGACATAAATAAATGGAAAGCTATCCTGTGTTTATGGGTTTGAAGAATAATTAGTTACAATGTCTGCATTACCTCAAATCATCTACAGATTCAAAGTAGTCCTTACCAAAATTCCAATGTAATTCTCATAGAAATGGAAAAACCAATTCTAAAATTCATATTGAAGTCACAAAAGACCTTGACTAGCCAAGACAATCATGAGCAAAAAGATCAAAGGTGCAGATATCACACTACCTGATTGCAAAATACACCCAAACGAATTGTAATTAAAACAGCATGGTACTGGTAAAAAAAAAAAAAAAAAAAAAAGACACATTTAGAACGAAATGAACCCACACATGTACAGTCAATTGATTTTTGGCAAAGATGTTGTCTAGCTCAATACCACAGACTGGGTAATTTATAAAGAATAGGTGTATATTAGCTCACAATTTGTAGCCTGGTAGTTTACACTTAACAGGCTGGGCATTGGTGAGGGATGGCCTTCATGCTAAGTCATGCCATGGTGGAAAGGTGGAAGGGCAAGTGAATGTGTTTGAAAGAGAAAGCATAGAGGTGGGCTTCATGGTAGCTAATCCACTCCTGCAGTAATGACATTAACTTATTAATGAGGACTTTGCCTCATGATCCAAACTCCTCCGTAATGGAAGACTCCACCTTCCAATAACATTGCATTGGGAACCAGGCTTTCAAAACTTGAATTCTGGAAGATAAACATTCAAACCATAGCAGGTACCAAGAATACTCAGTAGGAAAAGGACGGTATCTTCAATAAGTGGTGTCAGAAAAACTGTATATCCACGTGCAGAAGAGTGTAATTGGACTCTTATTCCTTACTGTATATATGTATATTTTAACAGTTTATGCTATAGGATATGTGTGCTTTCTGGAGAGAGAGAGTGAGAGGGAAAGTGAGAAATCATCTCCCTAGGGGGAATGCCACACTGCAGTCCCTTCTTCTCCATTCTCCTCTTGGGATTTTGGGCACACGTGTGCAAATGCCTAATGTGATTTTTAATCGCTGGGTCTGGGACTCGAACCACAGTTGGCCATTGAGGGAGTCCAGTGCCTTAAACACCACCCTACCTCCTGGCCCCTTTCCCACCATATATATATATTATTTTTTTTGAGAGGTTTTTGCTGTAGGGCGTGTGTGCTCGCCAGACAGAGAGAGACAGAGAGAGAGAAAGCGAGAAATCACCCCCCAGAGGGAATGGCCACACCGCAATCCCTTCTCCTCCATTCTCCTCTTGGGATCTTGGGCACGAACGCACACGTGCCCGGCGTGAGTTTAAGCCACCGGGTCTGGGACTCGAACCGTGGTTGACTACGTGGGAGTCCAAAAACATAGCCATTACACTAACTGCTGGTCCCCCTTCCCACTGTATTTTAAAAAACAATAACAACAAAAGCCCAAAAAACCCCAAAACCTCAAAATGGATTAAAGTTATAAATATAAAACCAGAAACTATAAAACTACCAGAAGAAAATACAGGGGGAACGTTCCATGGCATTGTTAGGGCATTGATTTATTTTGGATTGACCCAAAAACACAGGCAAGAAAACAAAAATAGGGAGTGGGAATTATAACAAACTGATTCTTCTGCACAGCAAAGGAAACAATTAACAGAGTGAAGAGAAAATCTACAGAATGGAAGAAAATAATTGCTAGCCACTCAGCTGATTAGGGGTTAATAATCAAAATATATGTGGAACTCAACTCAATAGCAAGAAAACAGGAAACTTAATTAAAATTTGGACAAGGAACCTGAATAGACCTTCTCAAAAGAAGGCATAGGAATGGATAACAGATATGTGAAATAATGTTCAACATCACTAATCATTAAGGAAATACAAATCAAAACCTGATGAGATATCGTACCTGTCAGGATAACTGTAATAAAGATGAAAGATAACAAGTTGGGAAGGATGTGGAGAAAATAGAATTGTCATACACTGTTAGTCGGGATGTAAATTAGTATAGCCATTGTGGAAAACTGGAGAGGGCTTTCAAAAAAATATATATATAGAATTACTGTATAATCCAGTAATTCTGCTTCTGGTTATTTATCCAAGAGATTTGAAATCAGTTTGCTAAAGAGATCTTTGCATTCCTATTTTCTTTTTCTGTTAAAAGATTATTTTATTTTATTATTAATTTTTATCTTGACCCGAGAGAGGGAACTTGAGAAAGCAAGCCATCAAGTCCAGGACCCAAACTGCAGTTGGCCATGTGGAAGTCCAGCATCCCAACCACCATGCCACCTGCCAGGTGCATTTCTATTTCTGTTGCAGCACTATTCACAGTAGTCAAGATACTGAATCAGCCCAAGTGTCCATCAAGAAATGAGTTGATAAAATGGGGCATATGTGCTCAATGGAGTACAATTCAGCCTTAAGAAAGAAGGAAATTCTGTCGGTTGTGACAACATGGATGGAAATGGAGAAAGTTATGCTAAGTGAAAATAAGCCAGGCATAGAAAAACAATACCACATGTTTTTATGTATGTGTAGAATTTTTTTTTTTTTTTTTGAGATATTTTCACTATAGGGTGCATGCACTCTACAGAGAGACAGGGACAGAGAGACAGAAAGCGAGAAAGCACCCCCCAGGGGGAATGGCCACACCGTAATCCCTTCTTCATTCTCTCAAAATTTTGGGCATCCCTGCACACATGTGCCTGATGTGAGTTTCAAGCTGCTGGGTCCAGGACTCCAACCGAGGTTGATCACATGGGAGTCTAGTGCCTTACTGTGCCACCTCTTGGCCCCCACATGTAGAATTTTAAACAGTTGAACTCATAAGGTCAGAGAATATTAGGTTGTCAGAAAAATCGTGACACATTTTTGCATAGAAAAATAGGTCATGACTTTACTGAGGACTGAATAGAATGGTAGTTACAGAGGCTGGGGGGTTTGAAATGATGGCCAAAGGCTACAAAATCGCAGATAGGAGAAGTGTAGTCCTTTCTAAGAGCTATTGAAGTTGATAGTAATGTGTCATATGTTTCAAAATTGCTGAGGGTAAGTTTCAAGTATGTCCTACAGCAAAAATTGTTGATTATTTGAGTTAATGAATGTATCTTGCTTGATTTAATCATTCCACATTGATCATAACATAGATTTGTACCCCATAAGTTTATACACCTATAAATTGCCAATTTATTATAAAAACAAATAAGTAAAAATGAATCATAAATATAACTTAAGCTTTTATTGATTATTCAAAGTCATTGCTGTAAGCTTTAGTTACAATATGCTACAGATGGAGTAATTGGTATAAGTAGTGCTCTGTGGGATAGAATTATAATTGCCAGTAGCAAGTAACTCTGGAACTTGCTTTCATGCAAATGTTTTGCTTTTCTCATCCAAGTAAGGTCCAACAGGTTCTTAGGTATGGCTGTGTAGAAGTGTAACATAAATCACTCAGTGATTTAGTGGATAAAGGACTGTTACAGAATAGAGGAACAGTCCTTTTTGCTTATTGATGCCTGTATCTTTGACTTTTGAGCATCGTGTGAACAGTGGACTTCCATCAGTCA